GGTGTACCATTAATAGAAAAGCTGTTCTCTTTGGAGAATTCCAAAACTAAGGATAAAGTAACAAAGCATTAACTCACGCTGGGAACAAGCCGTACCTTTCCAGTGCAGGTCTGTGGAATGTTCAGCACCTTCAACGTCAGTAACTTCAGAAGGACTCCAAGCAGCCTGGAGCTGAGATCCATGTGCATGGTCTAACAAAGTAAATGGAGATCGTATCAGAAAGGCCCAGATGTGATCCCACTTTAAGGCCCGATATTCTAATTCCTACTGTTTCCCCAGCCTTTACAGACCCAGAGAAAATGAGACAGTGCTCTTTATGGCGTATAGACAGAGGTACGATTTGTACAAAAATTGTGGAAAAAGGAAGGGCAACCTGTTGCATTTTTTCAATAGCAAAATCTAGTTTTCATTCCCATAAAACATTCCTAAAAGCAGATTTGTTTCTCAGAAATTGGAGAACATCTACCTTGTTGTTAGGAAAAAGGAATCTATTCAGCTTACTGAGTACATTTGACATAAGGCTGATTATTTTTGTTATTTGTTTCACGGTGGCTCCTCACGATCCCGGTGGTAGACTGGAAGCCTACCTTCCTAGGCACTGTCCAGAAGCACTGCCCCAAGAAAGAGCCCCAGCAAAGCAAACCAGTAGCAAACAGATCTGTAAAACGGGACTCGGCTCACGGCAGAAATCCTTACACAAGCCTCAGCCCCCTGGTAGGCCCTCCCTTCCCTAAAGTCTGAATAAATAGAGATGCCTTTCAGGATGTCTGGAAGGTCAGTGAGCTGTTCAGGCAGGAGAGCAGCAAGTTTCTGTAGTCAAGGGCACTTCCCCCCCCCCCCTCTGTGCTTCCCTTCCCTGTAGGCACCTTCCCATTCCTTTTTTTTTTTTTCTTTTTTTTACATTAATGACAGATGGATGAGAGTACCCGAGGACATTATAGCAGGGTTTCAGTAGGGTTTCATTGGTGCTTGTGGTAGGCTTAGCACTAACTAGTAGAAATCCACAATTAACACAATTCGCCTCAGACACGTTACTAAGACACAAATGTTCTTGGTTTCCTCTGGTGCTGCTACTGACCTTAATTAAAAGTTCACCTGAACTGAAAAATAATTGAATAAACCACCAGTGCCGGAAAATGATTAGCCCAATTAATTATTTTGTAGGCTGGAGAAATGGTTTTACTGTTAATTTAAGACTCCTGGTTTGATTGATTTATACAGAATTAACTTTGTTGAATGAAGCCATCACTGGGAGCCAAGGAGACTGACATTCAGTGAAAACAGCTAAAATTTCTGCTAGCAACAAGGGGTTCGGTGTCATCTGGAATTAGCCTATTTAGACGAGTTGAATGTTGATAAATGATAAATAATGCTGGGAGGACTTTAGCTGGAAATTATAGGACTGTTTCTGACTTGTTGGAAAAAAGTAACTGCTAGCTTTCTGAGATTATAGGATTAAACCGTATCAGTACTTTAAATGTGACTCATGAGCAGGGGCTTTCTGAAGAGAATTACATAAATTTCCCAAGGTCTTTCTGAATAACAAATTGTTCCAAATAATTTCCTCATCTTTAGTAACTATGGGTGAAATCCTAGCCCCACCGAGGTCAACAGAAAAAGTCCTTTTGATTTTACTGGGTTCAGAATTTCACACCCAGACTCTCAGAAATCTTCAGTTCTTCTTTGGTGACTGGGTGAGGAAGAAGAGAGGAAGTCTCTGGAACTGGAAATGGCATTTTCTACCAACTGGCAATTTGCTGTCCTTGCATTTTTATATTTACCTTGCTTAGCGATGAACCAGATTCTACTCTCATTTGCACCAGTGTGGATTTGCAGTGTATTTTTAGATATCTCTGAGCAAAATCTATCTTCTTGTCAAGGCACGTGACCCCAAACATTTCTTGCTGGGTTACAGAAGTAGCGCATGGGGAACTATGCAATTCTGGGTTGACCGTGTGGAAATTTAACTTACCCACACTGCTACCCCAAGGCAACTACTTGCCTACCTGCACTAAGTTAATTATAACTGACTTTGCTATAATTATTACCGTTCTAATCAAGAGTAGATAATGCACGCTGTAATTACCTGTACAGCTATTAAAAAAAAACCCCAAAACCTACACACCAAAGAAAGCTGGAAAACCAACATGGTAAATCTAATTTAACACAATTCACTTTATTCATAAGGGAAGTAATACAATCTGTTTTCCTGTGCATTTTCACCTTGGGCCAGCCACAGAAAACACTCAGCTTTCTTCCAGACCTCTCATCTCACCTCTTCTGGGTGAGAGATGGTTTGTGTCATGTGTGCATTGGCTAGCTAGGCTGCCCACGATGTTAGGACGGTTGACTGCTGAGTTTTGCCTCTTGTTCCCTCAGTGGGGTCACCAGTTTTCACAAAGCTCATTGGGGGCCTCTCCCCCTCCAAAACTGGCTAAAAAATTGGTAAGAGTGACTAAAAAGAGGAAAGTACAGAGCACTGTTGGGTAGGTTCATTTTCTTAGGAAAACTACTAGAAATAAGGTTCCCCCATGGGTGTCCATTTGCATAATTCCCCTGAAGTCTCTTCGGTCACACTGTTTTATATCAGCAGGAGATCCGACCATAAATATTTAAGAATTTCAAGCCTCTTGTTGAGGGCACATGAGGACAGTTTCAGATTTTACAAGAGCAAAGGAACGAAACAAACGGCTTCATGTTTTTCATGACTCAATCCCTCCAACTCAGCCTGTGCTTTGAAGCCCCAGAGCGTGTATAGACTTTTACCTTTGTACCGACTCTTTTTGTGAACTGTTTTGCAGGAGTATATAGCCAGATCTACAACTCTGTGTAAAACTGAGCATGATAATTTGGTGACAGATTTTGTCTTGGTTAGCAGACTTCAGCTCCTAGTAAAACTCTTTGAGCTTTGCCTAAATGTAGTTGAGATCAAGGTACAGCTCTGTCCATTTGAAGCTGGAATTTTGTGGTGGTATAGCTCTGAGGATGGAGATAGTCTTAAACTCCTTTTATATGTTTAATAATAATAATTCTTTGCTTTCTGATTTTTGTTCCTTGTTCTCTTTCTCTTCCTATTCACTTGATTCTCATTTGCCAAGCATTACCAGTTTAAAACTTTGAAGTATACATACATACACACAATTTTTTTCACATTAAGTTTTAGAGAGACCTAGATATTGTGTGATGTGCTAATACTATTATTATTTTTAAATACCAACTTGAAGTTAACCTAAAGTAGAAGTTTTTACTAGTGACCAAATTCTTAACTGCTTGACCTTAGTGAGAGATTGGGGTGGATGGGGAATGGTGGTTGAAGCGATGCAAGAAATACAGTATTATTTCACACTATAAAACATACCTCTAGGAGATATTATTTACATTTCTAAAGTCATTGAAAGACTATTATTATTGTCTCTTTTTACCTTTCAGCAAAATGATGGTCCAACACTCAGGCCAGGTTTCTGCATTAGAAGTCAGCGCCTCCGCAATTGTTCCCACTTTGTCCCCTGCAGGGTCACTGGGGTTTGATGATTTCACAAATTTAACCCCATTGGTGAAAGAGGAACTGAGATTCACCATTCAGAATAAACGCCAGTCCCACAGGATGTCTTCTACATTGGACACAGTGACAGTTTCTGAAAGGCCAATTGAAACATCAATCATGAAAACAGAGGTATGACTTTTTAAACAGCATTTCAGTGTGAATGATTAATTCTCTAATAAAACGTCACTACGATACCAGTAATTATATCAGACAACCCTCTCCACCATACTTGATCCTTTTAAGCCTGCTGCTTGGCTTTCTGTTAAGTGCTTCTGGGAAACCTTCTGGTATTTCTCATTTCCATTGAGGCCTGTAGTTGGATACTTTATTTTTGATTGTGAACTAAGGACAATGTTTTACAGAGATTAGAGGAAGCACTAATCTGGTTTCCCTGCCTGCTCATGACTGAACTCGGAGTAAGTCACTGCAGCTTTGCTTGACTGAGGGCAGTGCAGTAGGACCCATGTGGGCTACGGCTGAGGCAGACATGGCCACGCTATGTCCACACTAGTTTTTTTACTTTAAGATAATAGTCTCTGTGGAAAAAAACCATGTCTCTTATGAAGTGGAGAGATAGCTTAAGTTAGGGAAATAGCTACACCTTGACCTGAGCCTCCACAGAAAACAAAATAAAGCTTGAAGGAGTGTGCTAATATCCCCTTCTTGGTGCTGCCCCTTAGTTTGCTGCGCTCTCATTGCCTCATTCATGCCACATCCTCCAATCTGCTCCCTGTGCCCCTTACTCCTCTTCTTCCTTGGGAAATGGAGGACAGATAGAGGTATGGGAGTCAGCCTGGGGAGATGCTTGGCGAGTTTTTTGAGTACCATCGATTTAAAACGAGCCATCATGTGGATTACATGCATCCAAACTCCAGTCAGGTTTTTATTGACAATTCTAATGGAGTTACTACCATTTTACTGTATGGCAAGCAAGGTCAGAATCACATTCTTATGTAACTCACGATATCAGCACAGCCCTGACAACACTATCCATGTTGCTTTTAAAAATGCAGAAGTTATCAAAATACAGGTCAAGTATTTACAACATCTTATGGGTTGTGTATATCTGTTTTTATGGGATAGTTTTCTCCTGAAGAGGATGAAAGAAAAAAGCGAAGAAGGGAAAGGAACAAAATCGCTGCTGCAAAGTGTCGAAACAAAAAGAAGGAAAAAACAGAATGTTTGCAGAAAGTAAGTGACTGGCTTGAATTGTTCTTAATCTGTCACCCTGTCAGGATCTGAACAGACAGCAGAGGGGCACTGTCATAGTAGCAAATAAGAGAAAGATGTCACACAAAACTCTGTAAACCTGTCAAAACACTAGGTATAAAAAAGAACACGCTATATATTAAATCAAACCTGGTTAAAACTGGGAAAAAAGTGAAAGCGTGGTAGGAATGAAAAGAGATTACTGTTTCAGTGACCACTCTTGTCTAGGGGCATAGTATGAATTTGAATGTGTACCTTGAACACAAAAAAAGTAAAATCTCATTTCATATAATATCCATTGTGGAGACCAAGAGCCTACAAACACCAACAAGTAATCTCTGACTTCTTTATGAAATGAGTGGCATAGTAGCTTAGCCCTGAAGTCTCTGTCTTAAGACCCCAGTAGTGTCTTCACCTGTTCTGCCATGATATAAAACTATACTACGGCAGCATCAGGCCTGTCTTTGTTCCTATATCCAGGTCTGGGGGGGAACAAAAAAAAAAGCTGTGTCCTTACTTTCTTAGCTTAACACGAGTTTACAGATCTGTGACATAATTTTCCAGGGAGTTAATAAGAAGCATAGATAATTTTGGGCCAACTTTTGACCCAAGAAGTTCAGAATAATTTTGCAGAAGATGGCAATAATGTTTCGGATACCTGTCGCTGTAAGTGAATACAAGTCTGAATTTGGCTTTTCAACTTCCATTACACTTCTCTAAATGCCAGAGAAGGTAACTGTCAATCTGGTTTTTAGACTATTGTCAACGGGGGGATGTATAGTTTCATCATTACAGGACACAATCAACATGCAATTTCTTCCGTGGCTAGCAATTTCTTCCTCCGCTAGCCATATGCTTTCCCACCAATAAAAGTCTGCAACTTTTAGACAAACACTGCAATTAACTATTTGAACTACTCAGTCTAACAGTTGTGTCTGTTCTTTGTGACTAGGAATCAGAAAAGCTGGAAACTATCAATGCAGAATTAAAAGCCCAGATTGAAGAGCTAAAGAATGAGAAGCAGCATTTGATATACATGCTAAATCTTCACAGGCCCACTTGTATAGTTCGGGCACAAAACGGAAGGACACCTGAAGATGAAAGGAATCTTTTTATTCAACAGATCAAAGAAGGCACATTACAAGGTTAAGTGATATGGCAAACATGGAAATATTTATAGTGTTTTTAGCAACTACCAGAATCCATGGAGGATCTGACATATTGTGTAGGATTCTATTAGTCCAGAGCCTTTAGGAAGGGCAGATTGCTCTGTTAAGCGGAAAGAATCATTTTGGCTTGACAGCGATTCTTCCCCTTGGAAGATCTGGTCTCAATCAAACTGAAGAGTCTTCTGCCTCAAATATAGGTTTTGCACCTGTGATACTTGCTGTTCCTAGGAGCTACAGACAACAGCTTCAGAAGTTTTAGCTCTCTGCTAGTATACAGTATCTGCACTCACGACGTTTGTGCTAGAACACTATGACTTCCGATGATGCACGTGGTACAGACAAGCTGTGCTGGATGGACACTACTTTTCCTCGTTGCTGGTAGGGAAAGCAGACTGAGTATTTTTAAAGTTTTGAAGTTTCCAGGAGGATGTTTTCTGGCAGAATGTACCGATATGTAATGTTGCATTCTAACCTAACACACACATACACACAAAAAGCCTCTAGTTCCAACTAAGCTTTGTCATTTTTTTCACAACACTTGTGTGGGGTTTTTTTCAATGACTCATCTCAGAGACTGAATTTTAAAAGCCTCGTAGGTGTGACAAAGAAATGTTTCTTGCAAAATGTCCATGTAGCTAAGTTTGTATTTTACGATCTGGAGCCCCACCAACTATCCTTTGGGGACTACAATTTTTCCTTGAATTGCTGAAGAGCAGCTTGTACCAATGCTTGGTGACTTGGTGAATTGGACCCACTGTAAAGAGGAAACTAACTATGGAGGAATATTGATACAGGTTTTGCATGAGTAAAGAACTGTAGGACCGAATCCCAGGCTCATGAATAGTGAAAAGTTTAAAAAAAAAAAAATAAAATCATCTAGGATCTAATCCTACAAGCCTTAATTCATGCTATTAATCCTCAACTCAAAAAAGAGGTTCCATGGCCTTCAGTGGGTCTGCTTATGCGGAGCTTAACAAACCTTTTTCCACCTGGCCAGGATTACTTGCTTTTGCCAGGTGATTCAGAGGGAAAAATTATGATTGCAGCTACTTTTATTTTACATTTTGGTGGCAACTACAGTCAATTGAAAGCGTTACTTAGAATCTAAAGGAGGCAAGAGTTTTGATGTAGTGAATAATTGGTTTTATTTTTTATTAAATACTAACCATAGATGTTTTTGAACTGGTAGAAGAGCTACTGGACAAAACAGTTGGAGCTATGAGTGTTTAAATTCTGATGTTTCTGTGAAATTCTCAGATTGTTTAACCCTATAAAATATATCCTTACAATTTTTTGTAAAAGAAAATATTATCCTTATTTATCACTAATATCGCAATGAGTGAAGTTAATAAATACTGCGAGCAGGATAAAACTGAAAACACAAGTGTTGCGCTGCCTTTTTGCTTTTATCTCTTGGTGTTTAATATTATATATTCCTAAACTTCACTGGTTGTATTTGAGACACCAGTATTGAAAACACTTATCTTTCATCTTTTCCACAGATGAGGCACTGAGTATCTTGAATGATTGAATGCAGAGATTATACCTTCCAAAACTCTGTACCTCCATCAGTGGTGCCTAGCTGCTCAATGTCACAATTTAAGTGAAGCAGACAGTAAGAATGGAGCTTGCAGTACATAATATTTTACACCAGTTACGCAGTGTTGAAATTGTTGTTTTGTTCTAAAGGCTAAAATTAAAGATACCTCAGCCGTAAGCTTCTTACCCTACAAGTCCCGGATGAGTCTATCAGATATCATACCTGATCCTTATATGATCGTTATATTCTGCAACAGAACTTCTTAGTACATTTTCCTAAGATCTGGATATATTGTAATGTCCTATATCATGTTTTAAAGATATGTACTTCATGTATCTGAAAAGTGAATGTATTACAAAGGTGACATACAAGGTCCGATTCTGTCCTGAGAATCCATTATCTTTCTGTGTGTTGGAAGGAGCTTCCATTGACTTCAGTGAGAGTTTTATTCATGTCCAGTAGGCAGAGTTTGGAGCCTCTGCTGTGACTTCCCTGGCTTAGAGGGCAAGTTCTGCGGGGAATTGGGCCAGCTGTTTATCAGAGAATGGATATACATGAAGTGTGTTACAATAAACTTGTCAAACTGTGTTCACTGGTATTTGACTTCTGTAACATGGAAATACAAACCCGAGGCATCAGCCCAGTATCGTACACCTTGGCTTTGCCTTTTCCGCATCAAATACCAGCAGACAAAACTGCCTCCTATACTGTTATAAAGTGTTACCACAGAGACTAGAATATAATGACAGAATTCATGTCTCCCATAGGGAATTTGTACGGTTGCTTTTAACCGTATCACTTGGTGACGCAGGCGTCATGCTTTTGTTGCTTGATGTTATTTACTTAGCATGCCAAATGTTAATATGGTACCACTACTATTGTCAGAAGATAATCTATTTTTATTTCTTTATATGTGCAGTCATAGCTGCTTTCTACTGCTTGTATGTGTGTGTGTGCACGCGTGCTCCTGCACACTACTCTAGAAATGATGGTACTCAAGTTCATTTGACTATGCCCAGGAAAAAAAAATAAAAAATGTTTAAACACCTAGGCAGGAGCAGTATGTTGCATGAGTTTTCTAAAAGTATACTTTATTCAGGAGAACCTTTAAAAATGCATTAAAAGCAGTTTGTTTTCTATTCTCAAGTTTGTTTTGATACTTTAATAAAAAAGAATTAATATATATTTATTCACGTGTCATTTAATTCATTCTAAGTTTCAAGGTCCAGGAGCAACTTCATTTTCTTAAAACAAGACTGAGATATTAAAAAGCAAACAGTTTTTATAGGTTTTGCAACAACAAGCATCTTATAGAGTGAAGTTGGTACTGTTCACTGCTTGTCGAGGTATAAACAAAGTTTTGTTATTTCAAGGTTGATCATGAATTCCAGGCTAATTTCTTATTTGTGGCCTAGGGCTTAGATTAAAGGACTGGAAATTAGAACTCCTGAACCTTTCCTAACCTTGCAGCTGACCAGCTGATAGTTATTTCAGCTTTCTGATTACCTAATGGGTTTAATGCTTTTGCTGCTGCGAAGCTTTAATGTTTATAGATTGCTTTCTGTAGTTACATGGAAGATACTAAAGAAGAATAGCACCATTAGGGCTTTGGTTTGTTTCTCTGTGTGTGTGTGTGTGTGTGTGTGTGTGTGTTGGTGTGTGTGATGGTGTGTGTTCATGTGCGTGCGTGGAGAAGCATGAGGAACGATGAACAAAATGTTCTATCCTGCCTTTCCAAAACTAAGTATCTACACCCAGACAGAAGTCCCTGTGTTTTGACAGCCGGTGATGTGGACAAAAACTTTTGGCCTCAGTCCTTTGCAAGCAGTCATTACTTGTAATGCAGAGGTCAGATAGAAGGCCAGGAGCTCCAGGGACCAGGAAATCCATTGCACTATTGCAAAATCTAGTTAAAAATATCATCTGGAAGGAAGATCTAGGCTACTAGGAGCCTGGCAACGTTGAATGCTTACTTTCCTTATCGGTACATCCATTTACAGAGGTACAATCCGCTTTCATGCACTCTCCTATAGCTGCTATCAGATTTTACTTTTGAATACCCAATTCACTTTTCATTTGGTAAATTTATAAATCATCTGCCTGGCCTGTTTTAGAAAATCTTATCAACAAAATTAGCACTATGAATTCCTGAACTGGTATTTCATATTTTCTTTAAATAGTATGAGTTGAAACCATGAAACCACTATTGGTCTCTATGACATATTCCTAATAGCAGAATTGATATTCCTTGAACACAATAATATGTCATATCTTCTCCTTAGGTCTTGTTTTAGTTACTAACTCTGTGTGTGTACAGACCCATGCAGACCTTAAAGCACGTTGGGCTTTACACTGTACATTAATAAGGAGCAGCTTCTACTTTTTTCTAGCTCTTCCCTTGAGGTAAATGAATAAATAGTAATACTGAAGGTAGGTAAAGCCAATGATTTATGCCAGGCTGGAAATATTTAATGAAACTGAATGGTAACAAATTTAAATTCACAATAGTTTTTCTACGTGGGCCTATTAGAATTTGAGGTTATTGATTAAGGGGATGGTTTTAAAATCACTGATTCTTAGTTTTGCAAACAAAACTGGATGATTTATGGGTAGTGAAAATAAAACAGTACAGTTGTTTATTAGTAGCAAAAATGTTTTGAAAACGAAATCTGCTTTGTCTTACAAAATTCCTAAATACAAATGACAACTGTATCTCACATCCATTTTTCTTGGGGTTTTTTTGTTTGGTTTTTTTTTTCCCCCTTCAGCAGAATACTGGACTAGGTAGAAGCCTCATCCATGCTGGCCTTTGCCATGTTTTTATGTTTGAGCAGTGCCCCCCGCTGGAGACCCCGAGAATCACATGATTAAACTGTGTAAAGAGTATTAATTTACCTAACTACTTAGTAACATTCTTCATTAATGACATCGATATAATATTTTCATTTCTATAATAGACATCATTCCTTTTTAAAGTGTAGTTAAGATAAAGAGTGACAATATTTTTAAAAAAATCCTGTTACTCAAAGTTCATTTCCTTAGTGGACACTCTGAGTCAGAACTGCTGACTTTAGTGATAAAAATAGTTATTTACTGATTTTCAGTGCTATTAGATCTTCAAAGCCATCACAGTTAAAAGAGAATGCACTGGAGTCTATTCTTGATACAGCATCAGTTCTGCATATCTTTCCTATTGCTGATGGTGATGTATGAACCAAAAAAAAAAAATCTAAATATTTTCAGACCCCAAGCTAAGTGCACTAGAGCTGATACTCAGAAAAGTTATTAGACCCATGAAATGATTAAATGGAAAATAGAAATTAACTGAGTTTAAGCTGGATTCCTTTTTTTTCTGCTTTTGAGAATTTAGCAACTTTGTATTTGTAGACTCTGCCAAAATAATTGGTGTACCACCATGCCCACTTAGGCAGTGGGTATGCCCACATAGCAAATGGTCGTGTAGTATGGCAATATTTTTCTATAAGCTAGCTTAGTACTAGGACCCTCCCAGTGATGACAGCAAGAAACTCAGTACAGGCTAATTGATGCCAAGGAGAGGATGAGCGCTCCGTGCAGCCAGAGGACAGGCTGCCACTGGTATCTGAGGTAGCTCATTTAAAGCCAGCTTGGGTATCATCCAGCTCCTCAGGTTAGCATATGTCACGTAGCTGCCTGCATTCCCAACTAAATGGCTTCACCACTTCAGACCAAAGGTTCACCCAGCCCAGTTTTCTTTCTACAACGGTGATCAAAAGCAGCTGTCCAAGGAAGAATAAGAACAGGGCAAGTATGCTTCCTCTGGGTGCTTTCCCACACGCCGACTATTTTCAGCTCGTGAGTCACGCAAGCTTGACATGATTCCTTTAGGTAGTAGTCTTCCATAGATCTTTCTCTCAAGTATTTGACCTGTTTCTCATCCACAGTACCAGCACCTGCAGTAACTTTTGGCGGCAAGTTCCAT